CCACACACCCACCCACCCAAACCGTTTCTCTTCCCACTGGCTGCCCCACACTCGCCCAGGTCCTCCCTCCCCTGCCAGCCTAGCGGAGTCTCCCTCTTTTCCTTCCGGGATCCGAGCGGAGAGGGCAGGTAAAGGGGCCAGGCATCACCCAGGGCGCGGGGACAGGGGCACGCAAACGCCACAGGCGATTAAATGGCACAAAGGCAAGAGAAGCGGCGAACTAGGGACGCTAGAATAAACAAAGTTGAGCGGAGAGCTTCAACGTTAAAGTTTATTTCCCACTTACCCAGGTAGGTGACGCTACATTTTAGCAATCATCGAAGCAGCAAGTCTCTGTTCGGAAATAAATCTGTTACTTCTTACATGTGTTTATTCTACTAACCCTCTCGCCCCCTTCCTTGATCATCTTCTCCGAGGGATTTTTTTTTTTCTTTTTTTTTTTTCTCCTAGGAAACCCACAAACACGCTGAAAAGACACATTCACATCATGGTAATAGGAAGAACATGAACACAAAGACCAAAAGGCTCAAACAGCAGTGGGAAACAGGACGAAAGTCTGAGATCTAAGGCAGCCCCCCTTCCTCCCTGGAGTTTTATGCAGTTACAGTGACTGCAGCTATTTCACAAAAGCACCGACACGAAAGGGAAAGGTGGGAACCTGTGCGAAAAGAGTTTTCTTACCAGCGTGATTCCGCAAAATGCAGAGCCCCGAACGTGCACCAGCTCTGCCTAAAAGAAAGACGAATAAACATTTGCTTTAAAAATCGTTGCTCGGTTTACAGTCTACAGCGGAGGTGGGGAGGGAAAAGGGTAGGAGAGAATTACTACAGATCACGGGTTTGAGGAGGCAACAGCAGCAACACTCGGGCGGTAATGAGGATCGGTTTTGAGGACTGAACTGGTGTTTTGTGATGAGCAGCTATCCCACTTGCAGCACTGGCAGCAGCAGAGACAGAGGGTAAGGCTGGGCTTTCTGGAGTGCAGCGCTTGACTCGTCCTCCCTCCTCCTCCTCCTCCTCCTCCTCCTCCTCCTCCCCCCCTCCCTCCCTCTCTCACTCTCGCTCGCTCTCTCTTTGCTCTCCCTCTTTCTCTCTCTCCCTCTCTCTTTCTGTGTGTGTGTAGCGCAGGCGGCTCTGCTGCTGCTGCAGCGTCAGGGAAGAGCTACCGGGGGGGGCTTCAGCAGCCCCCACCCCTTTGGGCAAACTTGCCGGTTTACTGACTGCTTCTTCTTTCTTTTTTTTCTTTTTTTTTTTTTTTTTTTTTCCGAGTGGGAAGCTTCTCAGTTGCCATTCAACATTTTAAAGCACAAGCCGCTCTGCCGTGAAAGCGCCTGAGACACACTTCTCTGAAAGACACAGGAGGGAATACACAATTGCAGATTTCACCCACCGTGGCGGTGCAGATCACAGGAAACAACTGACTGATATCATTTTATTTGCAAATAAAAATCTATCTTCTTTTTTTTTTTTTTTTTTTTTTTTTTAACCGCGTCGCGGATCTTTTTCCCCTCCCCTCTGCCATTCCGCTTATATGGATGTAATTCAGAATCTGTGTTAATTCACGTGGGGGATCCAGTTACATCTTGTTCCGCTCCGGGTATATTTACGAGAGACCAATAATCGCCTTTGGACACATAGTTTTGTTGCTAACCTTTGAACTGAAAGGATCAAGTTCAGATCTGGTTACCTGCATTGGGACGGGAAGGAAGAGGAGAGAGAGAGAGAGAGAGAGAGAGAGGGAGAGAGAGAGACTGACTGCAATCTCATTTGTGAATCGCTCTCAGTGCTGCAGATCCAGATTGCTCTAACACATGCAGTGCAAATGCAGGTAAGGCACACACACAAACTGCGGATGCAAAAACAAACTTGGGACTGTTGTGTGTGTATGCTCATATCTACAGCCTTGCAAAATCTGGGCAAACGGCTTCTGCAGTTTCTGTATCGTTGCTTTGTGACTAATGACCTTGCGCAGAGTTGTTAAAAAAAAAAAAAAAATCCTCTCCGGAGAAAGAGCTGAACATTTTAGGCGATCTCTGAGGATGGATTTGGGTGCTTTTCTGCCAACCAAAAGGGATATTCTGTGGACTGCTCTGTAATACACGGGGTTCTTCTCCTATCAGCTGTGCAGCTATCGACATTATTGGGATTTTTATTTTTTTCTTTACCTTTTAAAATTATATATATTTTTTTAAGAACTGCCCATTGCTAAGAGGATTTGGAGTTTCCCGGACACAAGCCCTTTGAATAAAGCGAATCACATTTTTTTTTTTTTCCCCTGTGTGTGCAGAGAGGGAGAAGAATAAAGCTAATGCCTCGGTCGTAAACGGCTGAGAGAGAGAGAGAGAGAGAAAAGAGAGGGAGAGTGTGTGAATTGTAGTTAACTCTAGTGTCGAAGAAGACGACCTGGGGGGCTTCGAATCGCGCAGTGCTTCTCCTGCTTTTATTGCAAACCTTGCAAAGTGATTACAGTAAAATCAGAGAGGAGGAGGAGAAGGGGGAGGAGGAGGAAAATCCCATCCTGTCTACCGAGATGAATCTTTAAAAAGCAAAATACACTGTCCCGTGAACTGTAAGTATATCGCAACTGGAAGGCAGGGAGAGCAGCAGAGGAGCCAGCAGCAGGGTTTTGACCACCAATTGCACCAGCCATGAGACAATAAGTTTCCAGGAACAGAAGGAATTTATAATTGATCACCCGGACGCTCAGCCGCTCTGTTGGCTTATCGGGGGAGTTTACTGGGGGGCAGGTGGGAGTCATCCGCATCGGCAACGTGGCTTCCGACCTGGGAATCGTGACGGGCTCCGGAGAGGTGACATTCAGCCTGGAATCGGGCTCCGACTATCTTAAGATCGATAACATGACCGGGGAGCTGAGCACCACGGAGCGGCGCATCGACCGCGAGAAGCTGCCGCAGTGCCAGATGATCTTCGACGAGAACGAGTGCTTCCTGGACTTCGAGGTGTCGGTCATCGGCCCATCGCAGAGCTGGGTGGACCTCTTCGAGGGCCGGGTCATCATCCTGGACATCAACGACAACACCCCCACCTTCCCCTCCCCTGTCCTCATCC